ATGCAGCTACACAGAGAGAGATTCTGAGATAGAGAGAGATCTTCCATCTCTGGTCTGCTTCCTAAATGGCTGCAAAGGCTGAAATTAGGCCAGGCCAAAGCCAGGAGCAGGTCCATTCAGGTCTCCCACATGAGTACAGGGTCCCAAGCATTTGGACCATCTTCTACTGCTTTTCCAGGCCTATTATTGGGAGCTGAATTGAGAGTGGAGCAACTGGGTCTTAAACTGGTACTCATATGGATTGTTGGTATCACAGGTGCCAGCTTCACCTTTTGTGTCATAACATCAGCTTCTGTATAATCTTGTCTTTGAGCAAAAATCTGAATGTTAACATCGAATTTCACCAAATCTTGGTATTATCCATGATAAAACAAAATAATCCTTTTTAAAGATTTTATTCATTTGAAAGGCAGAGTAATACAGAGAGGAAGAGACAGAGAGAGAGAGCTTCCATACCCTGGTTCACCACCCATAGGGCTGCAACAGCTGAGGTTGGGATAGGCCAAAACCAGGAAAAGGAGCTTCATCCATGTCTCCCACATGAGTGGCAGCAGCCAGGACCTGAACTGGCACCCATATGGGATGTCAGTGAAGCATGTGGAAGCTTTACCCATTAAGTCACAACGCCAGCCCCGAATAATCCTTCCAGTAGGCCTATTACATAAGGCTCCAAATTACTTTACAGTATCTTTTGCATTATTTCTGAATTTTGGATACTTTTCCTGATGATTTCAAAGTTCTGTTTCTCTTAAAATGCCAAGTCAGACTTTTTGGATTCCATTCTCTCAATTTAGCAGAAAATCCAAAACTTACTGATGTATTCTGTGGTTCTTCCTACATCTTTCTCATTGTAACATTGATTCATTTCACCTGTGAAATTAGACATTGTCTGCTGAAATAATCTTTCCTGAATGTGACAATTATTAATCAGAAGACTCTTGACATTCTTTTCTTTGAAATAATTAATTCATGTTTTGTGGTATATTCTTATTTTTGAGTTATTTTTACTTTTTTTTAAACAGTTTTTAAAACTGCAGTTCAAAATGTGATGCCATATCTGATGAGTCTGACAAATGCCAAGTTCATGTGGCATCCAGGCAATTGCAATATTCTCATCTCTGCCAGTATTTTCCAGAACAGCCCTTTAAGTATTTTATTTCTTTAATAAGTTTAAACATGACAATGCCAAGTTTTCTCTTTTCCTTATGTAACTCATTAGTTTTTAGATTACTTTATTTGTTTTAGTTTTAATTAGCATGCAATAATTGTACATTTTTAGTAGATACAGCACAATGCCTCAGCAAACACACACAATGTAATTCAATCAAACTGGACAATTAGCCTTTCCATTTCCTTATCTTTTCCTTATGTTTGGAGCCTGCTGGCTCCCCTCTTCCACTTCTTCATGTAGTATTATTAAACTTTATTGTGAATTATAGTCACTTCTCTGTGCTAGGGCACCCTAAATCTTGTTGCTTCTATCTGACTGTGCTTAGGTACCTGTTATCCAACCTTACACATTAATTTATTTATTTAGACTTGAATTTACTTAACCATTCATTAATTCATTCATTTAAAATTAGTGATAAAAATGTGTAACATGAAATTTACCATTTTAACCATTTCTAAGTGTACAGTTCAGTAGTGTTAAGCATATTCATATTGTTTTATAAATAATACCCAGAAATTTTTTATCTTGCAAAACTGAATTTCTGTTTGCCATTAAACAACTACTTCTCATTTTTTCTCCAGTCCCTAGAAACCACCATTCTACTTTCTATTTCTTTGTATTTCATAACTCCAGATTTCTTAGAGAAGTGGAATCATTTATTATTTGCCTTTTTTATAACTGAATTATTTCACTTAGCATAATGTCCATAAGGTTTATCTGTATTGCAACATGTGTTATTCTCTTTTCTTTTTGCATCTGAATAATATTCCATTGCATTGTATATGTTATTCTGTTTATCCTTTCAGCTGTCAGTAGATACTTGAGTTACTTCCATCTGTTGGCTATTATGAATGTGCCCTCAATGAACATGAATGTGCAAATACCTTTTCAAGATCCTGCTTTTAATTCTTTGGGAGATTTATATACATATCTGTATGTGTGTGTGTATTTTATTATAAATGAGATTGTTGGATCACATGGTAATTCTATTTTTACTTTTGTTTGAGGCCCCACCACACTGTCTTCCATAGCCACTGCACCACCAACAGTATCCAAGTTTCTAATTTCTGTACATCCTCACCAACAATTACTTTCTGTTTTTTATAGTAACTTTCCTGATGTGTCAAGTGATAATGTGGTTTTTGATTTGCATTTCCCTAATGATTAGAAGATGTGGAGCATCTTTTCAGATACTGATTGCCCCCCCCCTTGTTTTTTTAATCATCTGATGGTTCATCCATGTAAAACCATTAATTGAATACATTCTACAACCCGAGATCTTGAATTAAGCTTCTTGACTTTAGGAAGTCTTCATCTACCTTGGGAAGATAACATGTAAACAAGTAACTGAAACAATGTGATAAGTTCTCTGAGACAGTGTGCATAAAATGCTTTCTGGTCATTCATCTTACTTTATATCTTTAGTATTTTTCATTTTAGTATTTGCTAAAAGAGTACCATTGGCCACTTGTAGCTTATTCCTTCAAAGATAATTTAGAAGTTTTTTCCTTCAGCTACTTGCACTCACCTTTTATTATTCATTAACTCTTGCATTGAATTTTCTCAGATCCCTAATTGACCAGAAAAAGAGTATAATAGTCCTCCAAAGCTTATCTCAGTCATTACAAAACTGTCTGTGGCCTGTCCTCATGACTAGCACCTGCATTTTGCCTCACTGCCAATTCCCATTTCCTTTATAGGAATTTCTTATCTTTGCAGTTAATTTAGAAGGTCAACATTCTGTCCCTCAACACTTGCTCTATTCTTCCTGTTTAAATGTAGCTCAAACATTGCACCGCATTTTCCCCCAGCTGAATATGACTTCCACTATTTACTTCCTCTTTTGCATGGAGTCAGGAAGAATCAGGGGAAAGAGGAATGCAGAGAAATCGAGAGAAGACATGTTACCAACATGTGAATAGTTGACTCAGGGTCCTGTCAATGCTTTTTAATTCTCACTGACTTTTTTAAATGTTCCTTTTACAATTTCAAGTTTATATGGAGGCTGGCATGGTGTTTAGTGTTACCAACCTAACTCACTGGTCCAAACAACAAACTTATTATTTCTATGCTATACTAATATTTATTTCAAGAAATAGCTAAAACAGCAGTATAATCAGACTCACACGAAATATCAGCTAACAAGAATAAAGACAGGAGCCGGCACTGTGGCACATCAGGTTAACGCCCTGGCCTGAAGCGCCGGCATCCCATATGGGTGCCTGTTCTAGTCCTGGCTGCTCCACTTCCAATCCAGCTCTCTGCTATGGCCTGGGATAGCAGTAGAAGATGGCCCAAGTCCTTGGCCCCTGCACCCGTGTGGGAGACCCGGAGGAAGCTCCTGGCTCCTGGCTTTGGATCGGCACAGTTCTGGCTGTTGCAGCCAATTGGGGAGTGAACCAGTGGATGGAAGACCTCTCTCTCTCTCTCTCTCTCTCTCTCTCTCTCTCTTTCTCTGCCTCTCCTCTCTCTGTGTAACTCTGACTCTCAAGTAAAAAAATAAATAAATCTTTAAAAAAAAGAATGAAGACATACATTCCCAGTCAGAATAAAATAATATATATATATATATATATAAAATATTCAGAACCTACAGAAATCTGTTGTGATCCTGAAAGTTTGTCGTGGTATAAATAAATATTATAAAAATCATAGCCTTGGCAACTCATGACAAGAGCCTAGGGTGATTATTGATGCCATAAACAAGAGTGTCAATTTGTTAAGTCAACAACAGGAGTCACTGTGCACTTACATGTAGGATCTCTGTCCTTAGTGTGCTGTACATTGAGATTTAATGCTATAACTAGTACTCAAACAGTATTTTTCACTTTGTGTTTCTATGTGGGTGCAAACTGTTGAAATCTTTACTTAATATATGCTAAACTGATCTTCTATATATAAAGAGAATTGAAAATGAATCTTGATGTGAATGGAAGAGGGGAGGGAGAGGGAAAGAGGAGAGTTGCAGGTGGGAGGGAAGTTATGGGGGGGGAGCCATTGTAATCCATAAGCTGTACTTTGGAAATTTATATTCATCAAATAAAAGTTAAAAAAAAAATCATAGTCCTTGCCTGGTGTCATTTCAATACTTGGTAGCTTTCGATAAGTCAAAATATTTTTAAAACTGGAAAACTTCTTTAAAATTCATAGGCTTTCACAATGGATCAAAAATAGATAGAAAATTTGGGGCCAGTGTTGTGGCATAGCCAGTAAAGCAGTCATGGGCAATGCCAGCATTCCATATGGGCACCAGTGTGAGTCCTGGCTGCTCCACTTCCAATCCAGCTTCCTGCTAGTGTACCAGGAAAGCAGGAGAAGATGACCCAAGTACTTGGGCCCCTGCACATCTGGGTGACCCAAATGAAGCTCCTGGCTCCTGGCTTCAGTCTGGCCTAGCCCTGACTGATGCGGCCATTTGGGGAGTGAACCAACAGGTGGAAGATATCTCTTCCTCTCTATGTACTCTGCCTTTCAAATAAATAAACTAAATTAAAAAAAAAAAAGAAATAGAAAATTTGAATAGCCCTGTAGCTATAGAAAATAGATGTACAAAGATTGTATACTTTAAGGTAGAAAGCTTTGTTAAAGAGATTAAAGGAGACCTAATCAAAAGGAGATATTTGTCACCCATAAATTGGAAGAATCAATATTATTATGACAGCCATTTTTCCATATTGACTCATCAATATCCTGGAAGAATATTTTTTGAAAAATTAATACGTTTATTTTAAATCCATATGGAAATCAGAATAGCTAAGACAAGACAATTCTGATAAAGAATGAATTTGGGGCCGGTGCTGTGGCGCAACAGGTTAACACCCTGGCCTGAAGTGCTGGTATCCCATATGAATGCTGGTTTGACACCTAGCTGCTCCACTTCCAATCCAGCTCTCTGCTATGGCCTGGGAAAGCAGTGGAGGATGGCCCAAGTCCTTGGGCCCCTGCACCCACATGGGAGACCTGGAAGAAGCTCCTGGCTCCTGGCTTCGGATCGGTATAGCTCTTCTTTGGATCAGCGCAGCTCTGGCCGTTGTGGTCAATTGGGGAGTGAACCAGTGGATGGAAGACCTCCCTCTCTCTCTCTCTCTCTCAATCTCTCTGCCTCTCCTCTTTCTGTAACTCTGACCTTCAAATAAATAAATCTTTTTTTTTTTTTTTTTTTCAGAATGAGTTTGGACGATGTACTCTGAAGCTGTAGTACCCACAACACAATTTGGAACAGATGGAGACTCTCCAAATCAGTCCAATTGATTTTCATTGGAACTAAAATAATTCAATATTTTTTGTTGGAGATACATTTCTGATTTTTCAAGTAGAGCTATGGAATAAATAGTTTTTATTTTCAGTTCAAGGAGCTTGGAATTTCAGATACACATTTGGGAGTTAAAGCAGGTATTAGAAGCCATGTCTGTAGAGGTGTTTCTATAGAGATTATAGAGCAGGAAGAATATAGAAATGAAAACTTTATAGTAAGTCTTTTGGAATTTCAACATTTAATGACAAACTAGAGGGAGCAGAATCTTCAGAGCAGACAGGTGATGAGGAACAGAGCCCAGGAGGCTATCAAGGCCGGAGATATTTCTAGAAAAAAGAAAAATTCAGTAGTGTTAAATGCTTTTGAGAACCAGCAAATGAAAGACTAAAATGTGAAGAGCTAAAATGTCAATGTAAAGGTGATCAATGTTGATGTTGGATAGAACAGTTTTGGGTAGTGTTTGGGTTATAACACAGACCAATGTGAGTTGACAATTACATTCTTGAAAACAGCAGATTGTATTAATAGACTAATTTCCAGAAGCTTTGGAGGCTTTTTCTAAAATTGTGATTACAGATTCCAAAATAGGAATGAAACAATACCAGGTACTGGCAGATATCACCTTAACCAAATGATCCAGTTAGCAACTTTAGCAATAGGATAAGCTGACACTCTGTGGCTTCTGATGGCATTAACTGAGAGGATCCAACATAACATACTGTAGACTTTCTGACAACAATGCACAATCTGGATTCAGTCATGAATAAACAGTCAGAAATCCCAAATGGAACTGGCTTGTATGGTAAATGCCCAAGTCATGAAGGAAAAAGAAAGGCCGAGGCATTGCTTTGGATGAAAGGACTCAACAGACACAAAACTACGTGTGTGTCCCTTTCAAATATGTAAATAAATTTTTAAAAGATAGTATTGGGAAATTGAAATTCGAATATAGACTGTGCATTAGTTCCTATTATTGTAATACTGCTTAAGTTTTCTGAATTTGATATCTCTACTGTGATTATTTAAGAGAACATTCTATTCTTAGAAGATGCATACTGAATTATTTAGGAATGAGGGGTCATAAAGCTGCAATTTACTTTCATGTGATTCAGAAAAAGTAATATGTGTACATACATATAGTATGTAAACACAGTCAAATGTGGCAAGATGTTAGCATGGCTATTCTTGCAACTTTTTATTTTGCCACAGTTCAAGACTATCAGAGCTCTACATCATCTGCTAATCCTTATTATTCACAAAATGTATTGAGAGAATGGTTTGTGAATGTATAGTAGCAGCAACATTCATCTACAATTACCAATATAATGTGAAATTTATACCTTCAGAGGTTAACAGAGAGACTGAAAAGGGTGCCTCCCACACCCTTCCTTCATAAGACATTCTGCCAAAATCGCCAAAGCCACCTTTTCTGTCAAAAATTGTTACGATGAACTCACACGGGAACTTAACTAGAATTAATAGCTTGTGATGGTGGATGGTTCACATTGTAGGGGATGTGGAGATAAATGTGACTGAGCTCTCAAGAACCACATGGCCCAGTGTGGAGGCTCAGAAAATCATGCTTTCATGGAAATTGGCAGCAAAATAACAAAAGAACTTCAAAAGATGAGAGAAGTGACAGAGCTGTTTCCCAGTCTGTGGACTGGTAAGAGTGGTAAAATTTCATCCTGAACAAAAATTTTCTGAAATTTACATAAAGGAAGGATAAGGAGAAAATGAGCACTACCATCAACTTTCAGTATCATTTTACAGAAAAAAAAACACATCATTTTAATGTAAAAAGAAAACTTTTGGCAATAGCAAAGTAAAGTTCAAAAACATGAAATTAGTTTTGCTTTACTGAGGAAAAACTGACATTAAAAAGGCTTGATGATCAGCAGACTCATAGAATGGCAAACGCCCCAAACAGCACTCCAGCCTCAGAATCAACCCTTGGGGCATCCGGATCTGGCTAAAAGGCCCATGAGAGTCTCACAGGCATGGAAAGCCATGACATGGTGGCAAAAAACAATCTAAATGAAAGATCCTGGTGAACAAGACCCCAGCGGAAGGAACAGGCCATCAAGGAGGGAGGCGCCTTTCTCCAAAAGGAGGAAGGAACCTCCACTGTGATATGGCCTTGACTAAACAAGTTCAGAGTTGGTGAACTCAAGGGGCTTCCATAGCCTAGACAGCTCATGGCAAGAGCCTCAGGGGATTGCTGACATCATAAATAAGAGTGCCAATACTGGGTAGAGGCTCCCCACGTAGGATCTCTGTCCTTAATGTGTTTTACCATGAAACTTAAAAACAACACTACTAGTCAAACAATACCCTATACCTTGTGCGGTTGTGTGAGGGCAGCCTGTTGAAATCCTTGCTTAGTATATACTAAGTTGATCTTCTGTATATGAAGGTAATTGAAAATGAACTTGATGAAGGGTGGGATGGGAGAGGGAGGGAGGGAGGTTGGGTGGGGAGTAAAGCCACAATAATACAAAAGTTGCACTTTGTAAATTCACATTTATTAAATTAAAAAAAGCTTGGTGATGGCCACAAAGAATTTATGGAGTTCTGAGAAAGTCAAAACATTTGAGAGGAAATAGGACTAGTATTGAGAGGAAATAGGACTCATTTAAAACTTTAAGTAGATGTATTTGGTACAAAAAGTAGAAATAAGTGTTAGAGGGGCCGGAGATATGGCGGAGTGGGTAAAGCTGCCTCCTGCAGTGTCAGCATCCCAGATGGGCTCTGGTTCAAGTCCCAGCTGCTCCACTTCCAATCAGCTCTCTGCTATGGCCTGGGAAAGCAGTAGAAGATGACAAGTCTTTGGCCCCTGCATCTGCGTGGGAGACCCCGAAGAAGCTCCTATCTCCTGGCTTCAAATCGGCACAGCTCTGGCGGTTGCGGCCAACTGGGGAGTGAACCAGTGAATGGAAGACCTCTCTCTCTCTCTCTACTTCTCCTCTCTGTGTAACTCTGAGTTTCAAATAAATAAATAAATCTTTTTAAAAAAGAAATAAGTGTTAGAAAATTCACTTAAAAATCCACATATGAGCAAAAACCCTGTTTTTTTTTTTTTTCTTTTGGAGCAAATCATTGGCATTCAGTGGGTTATATATGCATGACTGCTGTAAACTTAGTAAACTACTGAATTATGTCAGTAAACAGTATCTTGAAATCTTAAAAACTGGAACCTAAATTCAACAAAGCATTTACAAAAATATGAAGAGAGTTGCTATTTTAAGAAGATAAGTATAATAATGTGTGAGTGTATGTTTACTACGCATACATACACAGATACACATATATAGATATCCTAAAATATAAATAATGCTTATAATTGTTTAAAAGAAGCACTGGACTACATTATGGATGTTGCTATTGACTTAATTGCTCTATATCTCTCTAGTTTTTATTTAAAAGGTAAGTACAACACCTGCTCAGTATGAGAAGCAAGGATTAAAAAGCACAATATCAATTTATGTGTAAAAAGGAAAAAACATTTTGAACTACTAATCAATGTTTTCTGTGAGTATTTTAAACTGAGGCTTTTTAATGTAATATAACATTAACACTCATTCTGAAGTTGAACAAATCTTTTTTGTTCCCCAGAAATCTTTTATTTAAAGTACACAAACTTTATGCATTTCATAAATACAACTTTAGGAACATAGTAATAATGATTCTTCCCACTATACCCACACTCCCACAGCCACTCCCACACTTATTCCTCTTCCTTCTTCTGTTTTTTTGTGCAAGGTTAAAAACTTGTACACATTGAATATGTATCTACATTGTATTCCAAAGTTCCCTTTTGCCAAGTACTCTAATCCAAGTTGTGTAGTATACTGCATTACATTCTCAGTCAAAAAGCTATGTTCCGTATTGATGGTTCCTTCATGCTATAAGAGCCTGCCAAATCTCCTAACAAGTTTACTAATAATGAAAGTTGTCTTTGGGCTTTCTGATGGTTATGTCCTGAAGAGTCTCGAAATGATGTACAGTAAGGAATGAGGTGCATATTTAACAGTCAGAAAGAACACTTGCACCAAGGATGACTGTCAGTCAAACCTGCCTTCCTGTTCTTTTTATTATCAGAAAAATGTAGATGAAAAAAATGAATGTAACTGACAAAATAAAAAGGGAATATAAGACTGAAAATTTGGGGATTTCCGTATTATGTCCTTGTCACACAAGTCATGGAAATCAAGTTTTTTATGATATCACTACATTCAGAAATGAATCCTATTATTGGATTTTAGGTGGTAATAAATAGTGCTTAATATTCTCAGAGTATTTTGACTTTTTACCACTTGTTTAATCCAGCATACGGGATTGAGTATGAGTCTTTGCTGATTTTACCTAGTCGATCTTAATGCATCTCTTAACAAATTTCCAGCTTTTGTTACTAAGGTCTGGATTTTGTCTATGCCTCACTTCCTATTGGACAAGAGGAACCTATGAAAGAGTGAGGCCTCCATGTTACTGACTTACATTATAATCTTGATAAATCATCAATACTCTATTCTGCCTCAGTTTCTTAATTCCTCTTTGAAATCACATCCCAGTACCACAGGGTGTGAGCTAATAATACTATGGACAGTATGCACATGAAGTTGCTATGTTCCCTAATGATATCCCTAATTTAGAGAAAGTAACTTGCCTCGACTGCAAGGTATGAATAGAACGCAAGAGAATTTTAGGTAGAGGATCTGGCACAATGGCACTAGGATGGGGACATGCAATCTTTCTTGCCTATGAGGTTATTACCCAAAGCTGTGGTAGAAATACCAAAAACACATGAAATAAATTCTAATAAACTTGACATGTTTCTCAGGTACTTTCTGAGACTTGTTTACCTACCCAGCTTACAGAAAAAGTACTGTTGAATAATGTGGAATTCAAGTAGGAAAAGTTCTAGGAGATTTCTCCAGTAGTATTTTTCATGGTAGCTACAGTTCATGCCCATTTTTCATACCTACTTCATTTTCCCTAAAATTAGAGACTGCATTTTCAGGATGCCTTTTTCCCAAGAGTTATCCTTTGAATGTGACCTTTTCCAATTTAGAAGCAAGTCATCAGGTGTTAGATCTACTGTTAAATCTTTGTCTTTAGCTACAAGGGGGTGCAAGAGGGATGTGATGATATTATCAATGTAAAAAAGCTTGGGTCTGTAAAGTTAGGACAGATTCTAGGTTTTAGAGACAGACAACTGTCTAATGAATCCTAAAGATAGTCTTGACTTACTTGGTTTATTGGGCTGCCAGCAAATTATTTACTTATAGGAATATTATTTTTCTTTTTTTTTTTTGTGCTATGATTT